AAGAGTTTGGTGATTTAAGTATTTTTTGTTAAAATAGCAACCATACACTATGGCAGCATTAGTGATTTGAAAAACTCTCCTGTGCAAAATACTTAAATGCTATAGTTAATGACAATTTGTGAAATGTTTGTTGAATTGTGTCTACAGTACGCTCCTTCTCTCCTTTCTGCAATGTTTTCTTCCCTCACAGCACATACCTCAATTATTAGGTGCCCCTTGTCAACATAAAACTTCTCTGTACCCAGGAAGTAGTCAACATAAACTACCCAGTACTCTACTTTTTATTCCCACTGCCATCCTCTCCAACCCCTTCCTTCAAAATCTCTTCTCAAATAGCTAAAAAAAAAGTCCCATTAAATATATTAAGGTGTTACTAAAACAGCAGCTTATTATTACTTCTCCCAGAAGTGTTGCCCACTTTAAAAGTATGCTTAGCCCAAAGGTCATGTGAAGTTTCTGTAGGAATTCAGGCATCAAAGCACCCTGCCTTAAAATGCAGCAAATCATACCACAAAGGTGACACAGGACTCCATAGACTAGACTGAACCCAAGGATACGGATGAAATTCAGCTCTCTCCATCTCTCCCCTGACCCAATGCTGAAATTTTGAGAAGGGCCTCCTGACTCATTAATTGCAAATAACTTTCCTGAGAATGCTGTTCATAGTCGGCAGGGCCAGGATCCTGGACTGAATCCTTTCCTCAGTTCCTTTTGCTATACAGAACTGATTACTGATTATCAGCAAATTCAGGAAGTTACATAGGTTTAGCCCATAAACATACACTAAAAGCTATCATCTACTCAACAGGTCTTTAAAAGGGATGAGTTAGTATGAGTTATACTTAGTTTAGGTGCTCCCTAAATAAACGCATTAACCCTTTCTCCAGCCAGCAGGCCTGAGGTACCACAGGAGTCCACAAATGAAAGTGGCTCATTACCACACCAACTCTCCATGAGAGAGAAAACAGACATGGATGGTAGAAACTACTGCTTAATATTTCATAAAACAACACATTTATAGACAACTCTTGTTTCAATTAACCTTTACCTCTGAATTGCAGCATTCTATCTAAAAAGTGTACTTGCTGAGAATTTTACTTGGCGGTGGGTCTAGACTTAACTTTATGTCACCAGCATACGAGCTTTCAATTCATCTTTTCTTCTAAATTTTACAGAAAGCAACCAGTGTTGAATTTGAGATGATTCTGACCCATTTTCAAAATCAATAACAGCCATTACTTAGTGGCCACTACCTCGATCAGCACTTACCTAAATCTACTGAACTCATTTACATAAAAGCGAGCTATACAAACTATAAAATCTTTTTCTTTCCCAGTTTTTTTCTTTAGTCCTTAACCTGTACACATCTTTCAAAGGCCCACCCATTCACTAACATACACATAAACACCTAGTTTTCACAATTTTTGCTTTGGAAATTTCTCCTAAGAATAATATATTATGAACATTTTGGACATATGGCGTAAGATTGCTAAATGAAAAAATGAAACACACAAGATGTTCTACAGATTTGCTCTGGTGCTATTAAAGTTTTTACTTTTACTGGATAAATATAATCCACAGAAATCAAGGTTTATAAAACATTCATAGAGCAAATTTATCCCCAACTAGTAAGTCCAAGTGTGGATGTGTCTTTTCTAACACACATGATTTTCATTCAACTAAAACTTAGATCAATATAACATAGTGGGTAAGAATGCAGGATCAAGTAAGACCCTAGTTCTACTACTTCCTACCTAATGCAAAATGGGGGTAACAGAAATGGCACATGGGGTTGTGAGGCTTAAATTAAATCGTCTATGAGAAGTATATTGCAATCTACTCTAAATAGTTGTTTTAGGAAACAACTGCCATTTGGTTTGATGAAGCCTCCACTGTGTGACAATGGAAGCTATAGCTATTTCAGGGAACTTTTCATGTTTAGATTTGGTTTGGGTAACACTAAAGAAGGTTTAACAATATTAGTGAATACAAACATGTAGAAATAATACTACTATAACTCATATTTATTTTTTCCATGTAAATGTATACCACAAGTGTAAGAAATGTCATTTTTCCTAATCTAACCCAAGCTCATTTTAACATACCTGAAGCAAAAAATACCAATTAATCTTTCATTAAAATTTTAAAAAATTTATACCGAAGAAAAAACATGCATATTACTTTCCGCCCACCCCCAAAATCCAAATCTCTCCAAGGATCTAAATGATGTTATAAAATGGAAAACTGACAGACAATACTAACCTAGTTCAACAGGCATTACTGGATAGGCTACAAAACTGTCAGGTATTAAAACTCTCTTTTGTTTGAGATATGTCATACAGAACCCTAAATATACCCTAAATATACCATACAAGTGCTTATTCCAACCATATTGCATATGGCATGCCTCTGTCCTCAGTTTGATAGGAAGATGAAATTCTCTTTCTTGACATACTTTCTGTTTGCTTTAAAATAACTACAGCTCAGAAAGCTGGGGTAGATGCAGCAGTCACTTACTCATTCTAGTACACCATCTTCTCTCCTCTCCTCTCAGAGAATTTCTGAGGGAAAAGAACTCAGACAACCCACTCAAGTAATACTAAATATTTTTACATAATCCACAGACAATGATTTTTGTGATGTTAGAAACATAAAATATATGTCACAAAAACATATATTCTATGTTTCTTTACATTTTCAAGATTATTCAAAGTTGTGTCCATGGTCAACTTTAACAAATGCTTTTATAATATACAGTAATACCTTGGTTTGCAAGCATAATTCATTTCGAAAACTACTTGTATTGCAAGACATCACTCGTTTACCAAGTTAAAATGTATTAGCAATGTTTGCTCGTCTTGCGGAACACTCACAAACCAGGTTACTCGCAATCCAAGGCTTTACTGCAATTTAATACTATTGCATAAGTACATAAAAGTGGCTGACAGCAGACATAGGTGGACTTCACATGTCAATGTGTTTTCAAAAGGTTGTGTAAATAAAATCGTATTTCAAAAGCAGTAAGAGAGGTTAAAGAGGCTGTCATTTATTAAAATCACACTTGCATAGACAAAACATACTCTGTAGCTAATCTTTTCACAGTGTAGTTGCCCATTGGGTTTTATGCTCTGGAAGTCCGCATGATCCTAAGCAGTTTGCCTGAGTGAACATGGCCATTGTAAGATGTGAAAATTAATAAAGGGAAACCTCATTTGAAATGGTGTCAGGACAGAAAGGGGTGCTCACACGCAGCCCCTGGAGAGGTGAAATTACAGGCAAGACTGATGATGGTCAATCACAGACCCCAACAGAAAACAGGAAAGAATCACCAATGGTAGGCCTCAATGTAAAAGATATACATCACCTTTCCTACAAGAAACCGACTACCCCCGCAACTCAACCAAAGAGAAACCATCATCACCCTGAACTCTCACTTTTCTCCAATCAACTTGTTTTCAAAACTACCCCTCCCAACTTCCTCCTTTTTTCTCCATCAAATAACTTTCCCCTCCTTTGTTTGTTGGTCTTGCCTATGGCTTTTGCTACAACTTGCTCATCCTGAATTGCAATTCTTTGCTGTTCCCAAATAAACCTATTTTTGCTAATAACTGTTTTATTTTTAAGGCAACAAAGGCAAGCTGAATAAATTTAGAATGAGAAAATTTACAGCACTTTTTTACACACAGGAAATAAAAGCAGTCTTAGGGCAATCAATTTACCATTCTTTTTATTATTGCAACAATAGGAAGCATGCTTCAGTGAAAAGACTTTATTATGACCATAAAAGTGATGGATCTCTAGTTGCTTTTTTAAAAGAAAAACATTAAACATATACCATAGTTTTGCCCTGTAATTATTTTGTGCTACTTTTATTTCCCAACAAAGGCTCAGGAGCAACAAACTTTCCTCTTCAATAAAAAGCACAAGAGGCTGGCCAAATGGCTCAGTTGGTTAAGAGTTGGCTTAAGAGCACAAACTCTTGAGCAACAGGGCCACCGGTTTGATTCCCACATGGGCCAGTGACACTGCGTCCAAACTGAGCTGTCACTGAGCTGCCAACAGGTGGCAGGATTACTCAGCTGGTGTAACAACAAGGTTGCCTGTTTGATGATGGGTTACGCCCACCCGCAGGTAAGACTGAACTCTGCACCTTGAGCTGAGCTGCTGCCCAGATGGCTCAGTGGATAGAGCCTGTTCTCTTAACAACAAGGCTGCTGGTCCGACTCCTGCATGAGATGGTGCCTATGCCCACCTGCAACTAAGATTGAACACAGCACCTTGAGCTTAGAGGCCATGAGCTGCCGATGGGAAGCCAGATGGCGACTGGCGCCCTCCACAACAAAGATGGAAGAACAACTTGGCTGGTCCCCTTCCCCAATTCCCCAACACTGTTCCCCTTCCCCAAATCCGCAAAACAATCTTTAAAAAAATAAAATAAAATAATAAAATAAAAAGCACAAAGTTGTGAAGTTTCGAGAAAGTTTGGGACTAAGGCTGAATTTCTTCAGTCCTGTCTTTTTATCTCCACCTGGGATCCTGACATACCTAATGCCATTCAACAGTCACACCACCAAGGCACTGGGTGGCTGGATCTAAATACTGTAATACAAAAAAGATTTTAAAGGAAAAGGAAAAGAAAAACCAGGTGAGAGCCCATAAACACGAGGAGCCTAAGCAAGGTCATGGAATTTTCTTACTGGAAGGTCTGAAATAGACAAACCCTTTGAGCTTCCAATAAGAAAGAACCGAAGCCCTGAACCAGAGACGAGGTCATTAAGGTGGTCGGGGCACAAGTGGGGTTAAAACCCTATGGTCCGCGTCCCCACGATGCCACCTACGCACCGGACCCCACCAAAGGAGGCCACGGCCAGAGCCATCGCGCGGCGGGAACAGACACTCGGCGCATGAGGAGGAGGGGTGCCCCAAGTTGAGGCTGCGGAGAGCAGGAGGGTGTGGAGGGCAGGGGGGCCCAGAAGCGGAGAAAGGGGCCTAGCTCTCACCCTTGTCGCACGCCAGCAAGAAAAGCTTCTCATTCAGGGTGTTCTCTTCCTTCACCTCCCGCACATCTTTTAGCGCCATCACCTCGTTCGGCGGCGAAGAGGAGGATGGGGAAGACGGCAGGGAGGAGGAGGAGGCGCCCGAAAGGTCGCAGCCTGGGTACAGAGCCGCCATCATCGCGCCCCAGGCAGCGGGCAGGCCAGGAGATGGGGGCGGGGCCCCCGCCAGCCCCGACCCCGACCCCAGCCCCGCCCCAGGGCTGGAAAAGGGGTGAGTCGTTCCCATGGCTGCTTGGAGGCGCGGCCCGTTGGCCCCAAAGGGCGTCGCCTCCCCTGGGAGCCAGCACTCGCCCTCCACTGACAGCCCCAGGTTGGTGGCGGCGCACGCGCGGCCCCGGGGCCAGCGCCCCCTCCCCAGCCGCCTGCGCCCAGGCCGAGCCGGTCCGCGCCCCTCCGGGGACGACAAAGTGGCGCGCGCCAGGGCAGCAGCCGAGCGCGGGGCCGTGCCAGGAGCCTCAGGGGCCGCGCGCGGGGCGGCCCGGCCCAGCAGGAGGACAAGAGATCGGCCGGTGAGGAGCTCCGAGAGGCGATTCTGCGTCTGTCGGGCTCCCGGGCTGTGGGAACCGTGACCGAGCTGCACCGCGGAGAGATGCTAGCGGCTGTCCTCACGTCATTTTCCGCTCGGTGACAGCAACGACACCGGGGCGGGACCTGCTGCCAGGACCGGCTCGATGACGGGCGGGGCCTGCCGAGGAGGCGGGGCCTGCGGGCGCCCCTCCCCCTGCTTCTCGCGAGCCAGTCGCCCTCCTGGAAGGCTTGCAGCTGCTAAGAAGAGGCGAGCAGCCCGGTGCACACACTCCACACCTAAGTTGCCGGCTTGAGGTACTTGTCCCCGCCTTCTCCTGCTGCACATCGTGCTGCACATAAATAAATATGCAGCGGTGTGGTTAACGGAGCCTCTGACGACTTTGCGTTCAGTCGAAACCCCTTGTGGAATTGTCAGATTATTTCATATTTCTACATCCTCTGCCTAAAGCAGAAAGGAGAGGGCTGTCGCCACGCCGGCAGACGTGTTTGTGTGTACTTACATTGGGGCTAGGTACCCTAGTTTCTAAAGACTATTCTTTTAACTCGTTTTGTGGTGTAAAATTGGCATAACATTCCTGATGTCAAGCATTCATTCACATGTAATTCAGGTGTACTGACATGTAACCATTGGATCAGCACATTTTTAGGATCTACTCTATATCAATCCTTCCAGTGGTTTCTTGTTCATCTTCACATTTCTAAATTTGATTTTAAAAGATGAGTTATTTAGGCAAAAGCTAACTGAAGCACGGTAAGTGCTACTTCGTTGAATATTTTTTAGTCAAGCTTTTATTTAAAGCAGATTCTTGCACCTTTAAAACCGGGAGTGGGGTTGGAGTGGAGGGGAAGGTCTGGAAATTGTATCTCTTGAGTAATTATTATTGCTTCCCACAACCAACCATACAAAAATCTAAATTGTGCTCTCAAGGCTTTAGGTTATAAGGCAATACATAAATTTACTTCTTTTTTTTTTTTTTTTT